GTTACCTGGGGTGTGGGCGGAACTTCGTTGGGCGGAGCACCCCCACACCCCCTCCGCCCCCCTGCAAATGAACACATATAAAGTTGTAGGGTTGTGAGCCCCTTACCTCATGTACGAGAGGAGTCCACACCCACCCACACACACACAGACCCACACAGACGCACACAGACGCACACAGACGCACACAGACACACACACAGACACACACAGACACACACAGACACACACAGACACACACAGACACACAGACACAGACACACAGACACACACAGACACACAGACACACACACAGACACACACACACACAGACACACACACACACACACAGACACACACTCTTGCAATCCTCCCTCTGGACTGATAGAGCTTTCGAGAATTTCAGTCGGAACATTCAGAGGTGTAGGACTTTAAGAGGATTTAGGCTTTACCCCTGGCCTTAATCGAAATCACATATGGGGTTTATGGCTTGGCCCCAGTGCCATTCCAATGCAGGTACACAATCTGGCGTCCCAGATTGCTTCACAGCACTTCTATCACCGTCTTCGTTGGGCAGTGGATGATAGAAGGCTCACTGCCCCCCTGCGATACTAATACATATCAGCAACCTTGGCAAACAGGTGTTCCACACACACACCCCGCCGAGCGGGGTAGCCTTTGATGGCATCACTTTGCTGACTGAGAGCAGTTCACATTTTGCACGAACGCCATCACCATGTTATAAAGTGCATGACAAAACAACAATGGTTGCTAGTCCCATTATTGGGTACGCATCCTTGTACACTGTTAAAGAATGTGGCCAGCTTGGATGCTGGCAAGCTCGAATTATTCATGCAAAAATGGCTGTCACGGAGAAGTGCTCCTCTTCCTTTTTCGAGGAGACTCGGAACCATCAGTGCAATTGAAAGGAGCATTGGTAGCCTCAATCCGGCGAGAGTTTGAGTTCCACATGCTGTCAGCAGTAAGGCGAGTCTGGACCCACTGCTGCGTGGCAGGGAACCACGTTTTCCACCAACGGTCTTGACCATCAGCAGTCGTGCTTTTCGACCAGTAAAATCGCCACGAAATCTGCGGAGACCGCGATCGGCTCCGTTCCGACATGATGGATTCAGTAAGCTCCGCTGAAAGCCGCAAACCTTTCAGGGCAATCAAAGCACAACTTGCACAGAGCGAATGGAAACTGCAGTGCTGTTTTGGCTTAGCCTCGCATCTGCTCAGAACTGGCTTCACTGTTTGGTGGGCCCGAACTCATCCTGAATGAGTTTAACCGGGCACAGATGTTTCAGAACATAGTGGCATGTGCACCTGTAGCCACTGCGAGCCTGCATTTTAGCAGCTGCTCTGCCACGAAACTGGTATGGTTGTGGCACATCGGCATGCGACTTGGCAAACCCTGGTAGTGGGTATGTAGCTTCCAAGATGGGATCAAAGAAAATCGGAGCATCCGAAGCTGTTGATTGAATCTCAGTTGAAGTTTTAGAAGTCTTTTTGGACTTCTTTTTCTTTTTCTTCTTCTTCTTTGTACCATCATCGTCCTTAGGACGTTTCTTGCGCCTTTTGGAAGCTGGCTCAGATGTCACATCAAAAGCAGAATGCCACGAGGAAGTCGACGAAACGGGTGAAGGATCACGAGGGCCAGTGGGTTGATCCATGGCTACAGAAAAAGAAAGGCATCACAAGAGCCAAAAACGTCTACAGCAACAGCCTTATCCTGACATAGCTTTGCATGTGCAGGCTGTTCCGGCAATCACAAAAGCACATAAGCACGTTCCGAAATCTTTTCCTGCTGTACGAATTAAATCAGCTTGCAGCCGCAAAAGCATCGGCTGCTGCCATGAGGTTTTCTTCCTCAGGTTCCGCTACCTCTGGCAGCTCTATCTTAGGGGTTGCAGGTTTACCCCATGGGCCCCAGCTGTCGTCAGGAGGGCCATCTGCCAGAGCCAAAGTAGGCTCGTTGCCGACAGCTCGGAGCCTAGTTCTTCGGCTTTGTCGGCTCTCTTGCTGAGGATAGTCAGCTTTGCTTCGTTCTGAAAGAACAAAGACAAAATCAATGCGAGCCGCCGCGAACCTAATTGCCCACCTTCTGTCCGAAGAGCAGCTGTGGACCAAGGCATGAAGCCTCGCCAGATTGTTCTCATATCTGGTGCATGCATTCTTGCCCTTGACATGGGCACTTGGCAATAAGCCTGCAAAAACCACTCCAGAACAGTTCTTGGTTGAGTGGTAACACTTGCAGGCGAGCTGTACAACTCCTGCACCCCAATTGGGGTTTGTTGTACTTCTGCCATAGAAGGAAAACGTATCCTCTTGAGGTTCTAGGCCAGCTACACTATGATCCGTAAGCCCAGAGATGCCAGTTTTGCTGGGCCAGGGGTGGGCCTGGGAAGCCTGTACATCTGAACCGGTAGCCAACTACGTCTTCTTCTACATCAGGAAACAGAGAGGCACCTTCTTCGAAGTGCCTTTCATAATAAAGTCTTGACTGCAAAATGCAGTCCACGAAGCCGAAGAATTCCTCCCGGCCTATGGTGTTCGGTGGCACCGGCTCCGGAAACAAGCTGAGCAGAAACCGAGCACATCTTTGTCTCTCAGGGTCTTTGAGGGACGCAAAAGGGCGCTGGTACTTGCGAACAAGTGCCGCCCTGGCTGCATTGCTTCTCAGTGCTTGCCACGG